CGTGTTGGCTGGTACCAGAATGGATGGCGACAAAACACCCAGATATCCTTGTGAGTTGATACAGGAAGCAGTGCCGAAAGTCGTCGGAGAAACCTACCAAATGATTCGAGTAGGAAGGATGCGCTTTTACTTCTTGAAATTGACAGCCAAAACAACCGCATCAATGTACAGTAGTTGGACGCGTGTAATTTCCAAGAGATTGAGGTTGCGAGCAAATTGACGCATCTTCCGGTGATGGTAAAATCCCTCTTTGTCACGGGGAAATTGGATCTCGTCTTTCAAGTTGAAGTATCATGGGTGGGGCGCAATGGGTGTACTTGCGTCACCCACGGTGCGAAAGGAACAGTTAATGAGGTCTCAAACTTAAGTTCACTTTCATGTGCGGACAAGCAACGCCCGATCGTTTATCATGACGCCAACGCATATTCCTCATGTTTTGAGTGGAATCTTCTCGGAGAAAGTCGCATGTTGTGTGCTTCTTTGATACACTTGAACAAGCAAGTGTGTGCCTCAGGACACTTCACATGACATGAAAGAGTATCCACCCACCATGAGGCGGGCGCCCCGGCACATCCTCCAATAATGAGATGCGTGCCCTTCGGGAAGGCCTGCACGCTCATCCCGAAATCTCTGCAGATGAGTTTCAACACGGGTTGCCTCGAAAATCTTACCTCGGAGCTGCGGGTAGCTACAACAGTCTGTAGCAACGCCTCCAATTCAATTCTTGCTCCCGGCGCGTTTGAATCTAGCTCTCTAGACATTCTTCTTTGTTCGAGTCGCCTTGTTGTAAAGCCGTGGTTGCTGATGTCCTCCGATGCCGCTCTTCGTTCATGATGTGGATGTCGGGAAATTGTGTTTCAGCCTCGCCCCGTGTCCGGGTCCGCGAGGGTCCATCAGCCCAAGAGGTGAAAGAGGAACCAGAAGACCCTCTCCGCCCGAGGCCCGAAGAGGTTGGGATGGTCGATATGCTTCGTAGGCATGGTGTGAACACGCCGGATGCCGTGCACTGTCTACGGCAAAGTGGGAACCGGATGGATGTAGCCCTTCGCTACGCCATGGAGATGACCAACACTCGTCGCGAGAACCGGCAGACGGACATGGCTCGCGTGGAGTCCGAGAAGGAAAAGGATAGGGCCGCGGAACAGCAGCGAGAGGAGGACAAAATCCTGATGGTGCTCGGCGAAGTGATACCACATTTTCCAAAGGTACTTACAATCCACGAGCTTCGTTGCGCATGTGCCATAAGATTAGACGCATATGCCTTATATTTGTGATACCACCAGCCTGGTTTTCACCCGTGTGGGCTATCTGCCAAACCCCCTGCAGGAGTTGTCACGCATTCGTCATATCGATTGTTTGCATATTCAGAACGGTGAGGTACCGCTGTATCGTTTGGTCGCGGTGAAGGACTACCCCCCCCCCCTCAACGTGTGATGTCAACTCTCTACGTCCCCACAGTCCATACTCCTGAATGCTGAGGATGGCTGCTCGACCTTTCGACAATTCGTAGAGAGGCTTTCCGCAGGAGATCCGAAGTTGTGCGACTTTCGCGAGACGGCCATTACTCTTCTTTTTCTGGAGCGAGACGCCTTCCGACACTATCCCGAGAACGATCGCCAGGTGAGGAGAGGGCCGTACGTTGTACAAGTGGTTTCGTTTTAGCCAACCTAGGGTCTAGGGGCCGCGATTTTGCAGTGTGTGCCGTCGAGACACGAGAGAGGCGGAGGAAGTGGGTATTTGTAAGTTCACTCGACACGAACGCAAATTTTGTCAACGCAGCCACTGTCCTAGAGATTGGCTCCGAGTATCGCGCGCCTACTGCATGGCTCCACTGAGGGAGGGACACTGGTGTTGTGTACCATGGTTTTTCTTGTGTCGCACCGTTACCGATATCCTAATCGCTGGTGCATTAGATCCTGAAACCCGTTGGACCGCCACACACTCAATCGCACATGATTCGTTCTTGTGTGTCGGAAACAGATTCGAGAATACTTCGGTAAACTCACTGAACGAATACAAAACCATTTCACTGGGTGTCAAACGGAGGAGGTGGAGGGCGCGTCGTCACAGGGAGCCACGGAAACGGCCGAGATATCTAGCTCGTGCGAACGAGAACCAAGAGCCAATCGTTGTGGCGACAGCAGCGAGCGCGACGAAGAGACTGAAAGCCTAACAGCAAGGGTCCAAGAGGAAGTCGAAGCCTTGCGTAGTATTTTGTATGGCTTCCCGAAGACGCCAGGTGGGGTTCCGGACGCGTTCCTAGACAAACAAGCGGCACACAGTGCCACGTTAGAGAGGGATGGCGTGGAAGAGGACCATGATCACAGCCGTTCGGCTAGAACCGAGGATCCCGTGGTCATCGACGTTGACGATTAAGGGAAGGCGGGATGGGTGGGCGGACGATAGTTGTAGTCGATACGCGGTTTTGTTTTCACATCGAGGTTTGATGCGAGAGGAGCGTCAAGCGTTGTACATGTAGACTACGGCTCCACGGAAAGTTCCCGATGTGTTATTAGGTTTTTAAAGTCGATCAGGCGTCGTATTTCATCCACAAGACTAAATACCGCAAGGCTGTCTACTGCAACAGGGCACAATATGCGCACCATGTCTAAAATACATGCTAATTGGACCTTGCATATGGACACTTCGAGGTCATAACCATCCACAACAGCCATGTAATACTACGCCGTTAATAACTCCTATCTGCGCTGCATTTTCGAACATTAATTTCTTGAACCGCACACCACTACTTCTTGGATGGTTCGGTCGTCACGCCACACCGCCGGCGAAGTAGTCTTGCCGCTCCTGCCTGCCTGAATCACGAACTGGCCTGCTCAAGGACCGCTTCTGCCGCTCGTCCGTATTTATGAAATGATCGCTCGTTGTTGACCCTTCTGATCGGCTGCGCTTGCCGTGTTGTTCCCCGTGACCCAAGCCGATCCTGGGCGATCGGCGGCAGTCAGTTCCGTCCGATTGTTTGCTAGGCCTAATGCGAACTTTTCTCGTGCCCCTCCGAACACCCTTCCGGGGCCGTCGTGCAACCCTAGTCGGATCGAACAGTACGCTTGTTTCGTACATGATATCTGGCGAGAAATTATCGTCGCGTTTGCCCTTCCGATGCCACCCAGCCTTGGCGTGGGAGTCTAGCCTTGTTGCCTCGCGCAACCCAGTCAACCACGCGCCGTGCACTGTTGAAGGATGGTATTTGGTTGTATGTTCGCCGGCGAAAAGAACCCGTGGTTTGCCCCGCCGATCGGACATGGGTTCTGCTAGGGCGTCATACTCTTCCGCGCTGTGATGTCAAGATGGAGCGGGGGGATGCAACAAGTCGCAGGTCGATTCGAGGTCACTACGAAGCATGATCCTGTTGCATTCACACGTGCGCCTCTTGCAAAGATCACCCGGTCACGTGTTGGAAAGAGATAGGATTGGGAAACTGCCGACGTGGACTTTTTGGTGTGCGTGTGACATGATTTTGTCGCACAAGCACAGGAGGATACTTTTCCTCAGAGTACTCCGACAACCCTTGGAGGTCGGGATACTACTGCCGCCTACTACCACGTATGCGACTTTCCGTACGTTATCCCTGCCTGCCCTGGTTTGCAGGCTGAATCTACCACGGACTTGGGACCCTTCAACCACGTCGTCTAGCATAATTACTCCAAGGTTAAACTGTCGTTAAGAACACACAACGCGCGAAGGCTGACCTGCATCCTGGTGGGATAAAAGAGAAGCTCCCTCGTGAGAATTTGGACGTTTTCCATCGTGTCGCTTGCGATGAAACAGGATCAGGAGCGTCCGGGTATATGCGTCGGATGACGTCCATTGCCCGTCTTGTGATCTCCGCATCGCCTAACCTCTCTACCAGCACAGCGAATGGCCCGCCGCTCATTGCCACCAAGATGGGGCGACCGGTCACTCGGCTCATGTCCATGAACAGCAGCCACTTTCGTCTGTCTTTGCCAGCGTGCCCGAGGAAATCAACTTGGTCCCAGAATATCCTTGGGAAGTGCAGCACTAGCTTGTTGAGCGTCCCCATCCCCATGCTACGAATGGCCGCCAGCTTGGAATCTTGAAGCGCGGGTTTGAACCTCACCTGCCGGTGGAGCAACGAGTTCCGTTGAAACTTGACAACAAAGGTCATCGCTACCGGTTGCCCACGAGGAATCATGCTTCAGCCGACAACGACGCAATTCTGTTCATGAGGAATCTGAACATGTGGGGAGTTCGGCAACGAGCTCATTGAGTTGCGAAAATTCGGCACCTTGTTACCTACTGTCAAGGCTTTCTTGCGCTTCGTAGCGGTGGACGAGCCGTAAGCGGGGCCTTCGAGGTACTACATGTACTGTAGCTCAAGGGGAACCGTTTTTCATGTGTCTGATTTCACTTCTCTTCCAGGTAGTAGAGCGCTCCAGGTACATGTGCGAACCCTGTGCCTTTGCTAAGGGTAGCGACCCATGAGTGAAGTGAAGAAATGTTGGTGCCCGCAAAATGACCGGTTGGTTTTCGGGCTCACCACAATCTGTGCGGAGCTCTAAAATAATCGATCCAGCAATCCCAGAGCCATACTGCATGGAGTGCTCCTCCGCACCGCACAAACCCGGTTGCTTGCTCAAACGCCACGGCCTTCGGTCACTACTATCAACTCGGCCACAGCCTTAGCACGATGTGATGTCAAACCGGAGTGGCAGCAAAACGCAACCAACACACAGAAACCGAAGTCACTACTGCCGTCTACCAGACTTTGATCGCAGCTGACTCTCATGTATGGCTTGTTTGGTGCATACCCCCAAGAGCCTCCTCAGACATCGGAATAAGTGGGCGCTGGATCCGGCATTTTAACCTTCTATCATGGTACTGTATCACCAGAGTCCATGTGATGGGATTCTAGAACATGTCCGTGCAGTTCCGCGTTCCTGGGCTACTTGTTCTATGAGTGCCTTTGTCAAGCGAATACTTCGGAGTAGGAAGTATGGAGAACGAAGTATGCATACGTTCCATCAGGGTTGCCGAAGGGTGACTGTTCCACTCACCAGCCGTGCCTTCAGCACACCCAGAGGCAGTGTAACGACAACGTAGCCGGCTCGGAGCGTCGTGTCCTTTCCTTCGCTTTTAACCATCACCTCCACGTTCGACTGGGCGTCGTCTAGGCGAATCATCTTCACTTCGGTGTTGAGCCGGATGTCGAGCGTCGCCGCAACTCTCGACGAAAGCGCCGCGTACCCCTCCTTGATGATCACATGGTCCCCGTCGAAATCGTACTCGTCGTCCTGATTCCAGTGAAGGTGGTCTAGCTCATTGAGGTCCTGCCAGGTGTGAGAGAAGCGGTGAGGGAAAAACGAAGCGAAAAGCTCGTACCCTTGAGAGGGATACATCGAAGGTATGCGCCAGAGGTGGCCGGCAACACTCTCGCTAGTGCCGTTGCTGTATCATGCCGGAGTACGCGGTGTTGATGTGAACGAAAATCGAGACGAGATGGACTCCCGGTGATGTGGCAGGAGAAATGGGCAGTCATGCAAAATTTCATTCTCGAAAGGAGCATGAAGCTTCGTACGTGGGGGACGTGAGGGGTGCATAAAATTGTGTTCGTGCGTGTTGCATACAGTACAATGCAAGTGATCTAGCCCGCGACAACAAACTTAACGTTATCCATCTGTCATTGGAGAAGGCACCGTTCAAGCTAGGCGACCACACCCGGCGGTCTGCATCATTCGGAGCACCACCGCCGATGCACAAGCTGGAGTTACTCACCGCGCCACACGAAATCTCCAAGTTTCCCCGGTGCCAATCCCACACCTCCATTTCCGACTTGGAGAAGCTGGCGAGGTGCACGCGAGCAGTTTCTTCCAGCACCTTGCCGAGGCTTGCCGGCGCCGTGGAGTCCGTGCCATGTGCAGGTCTCTGCAGCACCACCTTACCCACCGATCCACCCGCCCTCCCATTACCGACTGGCCCTTTCGACTCTTGAGCTGCATCTATCGGTACCGCCTTGTGTGTGCCATCTTCATCAGGCGCTTGCGCGTGGTCTCTGTTCGTACCCTCGTGCTCCACCGGCTCGCTTTCCGCGCCACTGCTGCCCTCGCCATGTGATTCTTCGCTTGTCTCGCCGCGCGAATCGTCACCCACCGACCCCATACCGGAAGGGGGAAGGGTGTTGTTGCTGTTGTTGTTGTTGTTGTTATTGTTGCCGTTTTTTTGTTTCTCAGCGCATTCGTCCAATACCCGGTTCCAAAGCCTCTGGATGCGTTGGTCCATGGCTTCCGGAACGGGTTTACCGTCGTTGCCCAACAGCGTACAATCGTCCATAGGCACCAGGGTGAGGCCGAGCTCTTGCGCAAGCGCCGCCACTGGGTTGTCTTCGATCCCATGGATAAACGCCTGAAAGGGTGATTGGCAGCGAAAGCAAGACAAGTTTTATATACATCAAACGATGCGATCAATCGTCCCGTGCTCGGTATCTTGGCCAACAGCGATCTTGAATCAAGGCCCTCTCAGCTACGCCGACTGCCTCTCAACGACGCGAAAATAACCCCCCCAGGGGCTTCATCCAGAAATGCATGTCTGGCAACATGCGGTTCCCAAACAGCAGCTGTAGTGCTGTTATTACCCTGGAATGCCCTGAAGCACTCACTGCTGCGTCCCTCACTTACGCTATTGGCACGCTAGATTCTACTCGGTAGCGCGGTGCCTCTTTTAGCAATGCGCCCGGCGTCCTGTGGTGCAGGTTGGTTGAAACAAAGCGGTCATGCTACTTCGAACACCCGTTGGAATCGTTAAGGTAGCCAGGTGCGAACACTGCTACCGTATCTACGGTAGAAAACAATATTCTACAACAGCATGCTCAAGAGCGAACAAGGTTGTTGGACGTACGGGATACATGCGGCGTCCGGAACGGGGGAGCATTGAAACTTGATAAAAATCCCGTGAAGGAGTATGTAGTACCAGGTAGGTCTCAGTACATGGCAGCGAAAAAAAAAACTCGTAGCATATGGTCCTCGCCGACATGTAAAAAAAGGAGTGTGGATACCAGTAAACCGAAAAGAAGCGCTAGTATCAGTGAAGTACTACAGATATTCGCAAAGGTTCGCGTGGGGAACAATAGCCCCAGATTGTTTTCTCTTACCGCGCCAAGGTCAATGGCCGTTCCTCCTGTTTCGGCCACTTTGGCAGAGAGAAGGCGCCCACCCACTCTGGATGTTGCTTCTAAAACTATCACGTCATAGCCGCGATGCGATAGCTCACGGGCAGCACTGAGGCCTGCGAGCCCTGCACCTACTACCAGCACCTTGCTCTCCATCGTGTACAGCGGGGGTGGAAGGAGGACATGAGAAGGGAGATCAACACAATGCGGCGCAATCAGCTTAGCAGTCCTCGCCTACCACCCCCTCCCTTCTTCTACTCTTCCAATCTGTGCGGTTACGTACACTGGAAGCTACAGAGTACGTATGCATAGCAAGATGCAACCTCACACCGCCCACCAGTACCCGCTACACAGAACGGATGGTGTCCGTCTCTCGACCTCTGCTGGCTTTCGCTGCTGCAAGGGCACAAGGTACAGCAGTTTCGACGGTAGAATGAAATTGCTGCTGTGCACAACCGCCGCTGGTCTGTACCTGTCCGGGTGCATTACATCATCACATAATGTGAACTGAACATGTGACAACCGCGGTCCGTGTTTCGGTTGGATTATATCGTTACGTATTTCTAAAGTACACAACAGCAGTGGACGGGTTGCTTTTACACGATGTGTGGAGAACTATGTTATGTACTGCGCAGTTATTTTTAACATCTGATCGGGGAATGAACCTGGCATCATCCAATCACGTGTTAAGAGTATTGGAGGTAACTATTGCCCCTTTCTGTACTTCGCTGCCGTGTGTGGAAATGTTTACCAGAACCCCCTGCGAGCGTATACTGGGCCGGGTCGAGCTCGATTTCTCCACAAGAGAAGTACCGGTGCCGAAAAGGGCGGCACTGCGAAGATTATTTCATCAACAGCTTTCCGAACACGTCTTGTTTGGCATTGGCATCCCCTTGGTATTTCGTGGACCAAGCGAGCTTTACAATTCCGCCCACTTCGGATCTCATACTTCGTACGTGCCTCCGCTACTCTACAGTAGTGTACTCGAAGAAGGCGAAGACGCCCGCGCCACAACATGTGGAAAACGAACGAGTGTAACTAAAGTAGTCTATATTCTCTCTCTCTCATGCAAGTCTGGAAGGAACGTTACCGAAGTACCAAGGAGCCGACAACTCGTTGGTCTCGCTCATCTAGTACCCACGTTTCCCTTCTTGCCGGTAATGCCGTTTTCATCTAGCGGGACCCCCATTGGTAATTTACGTCCATGGAGACTGCCCAATTTACCTGGAATCACTACCTACCTCCTTTACGATGTGGCGACCGGCCTATAGGACCTTGTTGTGCCCCCGCAACCTCCCTTGTTGCTGCACCGAAAGGAACAATGGGGCGAGCGCTCTCAGACAAGGAAAGTTCATCCTCCGTTCCTAGCAAGTCTGCTACGGCCCCGCTCCCGCCCCAGCCTTACGGTGCTTGCCTCGTGCAACGTATCGGACGCGTGCATAATAACACCCGTTCTCGGACAGGTCGCCGTTGTGACCTCGAAATATTTTGCTGCCATTAGAGGTAATGTGGTTAAGCCCTACTTCGAATGTTGTCAGTCCGCCATATGTCAGTTAAACAGGGAGTAGTGAACTCGCGCCGCCGACGAGACGAACATGTCATATGACCGCGCCAATACGAAGTACGTCAGCGGTAGGAATGATGATAGATTATCCGATCGATTATTTGCCACATGGAACGCATTGGTTAACCCCCGACAAAACATTGCCCAGGCAGCCAAGCACGGAACTCTTCGAAGACGGTGAAGACACCCGTGCTACAGCACGTGGATTTAGCCTCTACCATGGAAGTATGTTTTTTATATCTTCACACCGAATCATCAATTCACAACCCCCAGGCATCATTCCTACAGGAACGTCTGTAGTGGTTCGCGTGTGACCCCTGTAGATGCACTCCACCTTAATGCCAACTTTGGCGAAGTGCACACAACACAACCGTAACCACGGACGGACCCGCAATACCTATCCATTGCTTGACAATCCCTGCTGTTGTTCCAGCCTGTGGGTGCGAATATTGGTTGTACATTTCAATGTACAACCGAGAGAGAGAGAGAGAGAGAGAAAGATCAACGTGCGCTAGCGCATCATCGCCTGGGTTTGGGCGTATCATTTCCCAACTCCTAAGACTTTGATTCCCTTGTTTCTTCCATGTGCGCATTCAACGAATCCCACCTGCATGTTTATCAGACCTCATATTTTCCCGAAGTACAGCCGAAAACGGGCTGCGGGTCATGCCTTTTTTTTCCGCGTCGGAAGATGCCGACACATCGTCATCTGCGCCAGATAGGTCGCACAATTATTGACAATTGCCGTCCTCACCAGACATACTCTGAACTTCGGTGATGCAATTGTTTGTCCGAGGCTTTCTATCTCGGGCACTTGTTTCCATATCCAGTACATACATATGGAACTCGAGAATGCGGCGTCTTTACTGCTGTTGATGGAAGCTCAAACCCTTCACTCGCAACGGATGCTTTGTTTGTGTCGCCAGGGCGTCTTTTTTCCTTCGGGACGGCACGACATTGCGCTGGCTTCAGCGGTCCGGTTGGGGAGGGCAAGCCGCAGCATGACTTCAAAGTGTTGAACCGTGACTTGGCGTATGCGGGATGGCGGAAGATTGTGAAGAAGACGGTTCGTGTCGAGGACGAGAAAGACTACGTGTTCGATGTCGTCCATCAGGTAAATTTGATGTGCATCTACTTAAGCAGACTGCTTGTGGCCCTGGAGATATTTTGGGCTGAAGAAGACACAAGAACAACGGCGTACTGCTGTACCTCTACGCTATGTCTTCATCGTGGTAGTACTTTTTGGTCGCCCCGGTGGTCTAGTGGTATCCTCGTAATCTGCTAGTCGCAGAGGTCGTGAGTTCGAATCCCCATGGGATGAAAATTTACGAAATTTGCGGGTGAAAGCGAAATATAGCTAAAAAAAAAAGCTCTCGTGAGTACCAAACTTCGACGTTAGCACTGTTGACGAGGGAAAGGGACAGCTGGACCCTTCTCGCGATAAAAATAAAATTCAGCACGCACCGCAGGAGGAAGGTAGGGCATGAAAAGAAATAAAAAGAAGAAAAGAGCCCTGGTGTTTACCCCCTCCTGTGTGACCCTGGATGGTTGTATTTGTACGAAAAAATACACTGAAAAGTGTAGTACTCTACATACGCTGAAAAGTGTAGCACACGTCTCACCACGAAAAATGGGGGGACTGTGGCCATAATAAATAGGACGAAAACACACACACACACACTTTTCGGCTGAACGGCGGGTCCAGTCCCTTCTCTCGAGATATGACGCCACTGCGGTCATGTTACTCGGCACATAGATGTGCAAGAACGCCACTTTTACTGTCCTTGGAATTTTGTATTATTTTGCCACTTGCTTACACCAACTCGATCGTCCTTGCCGCTTGCCCAATCAAGGAGGAACCATCGGTGGCAGTTCTTGTTTGGCACACCCAAACCAATACTTTGACGCTGATCAAGGAATTCGCTCCCGGGCGTGAGGAGGTGGCGCACGGGGTTGTGGCTGGCATGTACGAGAAGAACAAGCATGACTCCCCCCTCCAGGCGGCCAAGTATGAGGTGAGTGAGGGCTCTCGATTGTATTAAACCGATAGCGTAGACCGCGCCTTGCGCGTTTTTTACTCGCGCTGGATGAAAAACCGATCCCCCCAAAGCATCGGTATGTGGGATCCAGGCATACATATTCTTAGTTGCACTGACACACACGCATTCTGCATAGATCTGGAGACCTGCCGGACAAATGTCCTTTGGTCTGAGGATTTCACGAAGAACCATCAGCCGAATGCCGTCCTCATTCGAATGGATCGTATATACTAGAAGTGTGTTCACTAAGACATCTCACCTTCACTCTTTCTGAGTCTACCTATTAAGCCTGAGTACCGTCGGCCAGGCTTGGCATTCTTCTCCACTTTTCACGAGGGACAAACCTCCGCTGGTAGACGGTTGATCATTCGCTTCACGAGACTGTGACTCAAGTACATGTGTGTTGTGCACTGTACGCCTCGGCATATCTTAATTTGGTAGAATACAAATACATCTAGACCGTATGTGCTCCTCTAGCTTCAAAAAGGTTCAGACGAGTTTCGTGGAGTTCAAGGGCCATTTGACCGACAAGCCTCTACCAGTCGTGGCGTTAAGCACAGCAGCGCCCCACTGTTGTAATTTCTCCGAAACGGTAGGCTCAAGAAGACAGCGGTAGTTGGTGGTCGTCTTGTGAACCAGTATCTAGTCGTGAATTTTGTGAGGGCACGAGCTGTAGTATGCTCGGTAGCAGAACCCATTCCGGCCACCTTCAAACTGTTGTTCCTTTATTGCATTCGTTTTTTCCGTTGCGCAGCTTGAAGAGGAGGCTCATCTGCTGGGTGGAACATGGCACACGCTCTGTGAAGATGATGAAACCACGGTAAACGCTGACAAATACAGCTCCAACGAGTTCTACTGTTGGCTGGTCGTCGATCCTTACGTGACTCCGACTCCGAAGCCCATGGATGACGAGGAGTTTATCGAGATCAGGAGAGGCGTATCCATGCAAGAGTGCATGAGAATGGTAGGAAGGGGTGAACTTTCGATTGTGTCGAGTTTTGTTGTTCTTATGGGCGCCCGAAAATTGCGGCAACTAGGTCTGCTGGAGGGCGATTTCTAGTCTAGTGACCAATAGTCTATCATGCTGTTTGAGAGCGGACGGCGGCTTCGAAGAAGTAGACAGACAGCGCACTCCGGAGTTGTACATAAACGAGCTCACAATCCCCCAACGCGGACCGCGCTGGAGACGGATCTCACAACTTTCACCAGACCGTGGTTCCATATGGTGGCGTACTCCACAACTTGTTGCAAATTTTGATTGTGAACGGACAAAGTCAGCAGGTTCAACGCAGTTGGGTGTCCGAAGCGTTTGACCTGTTGAGCGGTCAATTCATGCTTCTTGCTCCCTACGCAGCGGCCTGAGTGCACCCCTGAATTCTTGGCAAGAGAAGAAGGGGGTTGCGGGCTGCGCCTTTTGCGCGCGCCCGCCCCCTTCCACGTCTCATGGGCTGGTTGTTCTCTTGTTGATGGTATGATTTTTCCCGTCTGGGTAGGGCTGTCTGGAGGCTAGGCTCAGCCTCCGTAGGTTGTCATCCCGACGTTGATTGCTGTGTAGCGCTACTACTGTAGGAAGGGAAGACGTCTGAAGTATTTCCTGAAGTTTGATTTGAGAAATTTACTCTGGTTTGCAGAGAGTGTTTTTGTTTCATCCTTCCTTGCCCTTGCGTGCTGTTAGGTTAGCCTCCATACACTGTTCATAGGCATATGGATGTTAGTTTTAGTTCCCTCGCAAGTATTAAGTATTGTGATTTGCTCGTCTTGGGGCGATTCCAATTTTGGCTACCGCTCTTTGAGAAGCTCGAGCAGCGGCGCCGGAGCCTGCCACACGTGGGTACCGTAATGGTGGTGGGGGGTTGAACCGAGGGCAAGAGAAAGGAAGAAGGTCGCTCGACACAACCGGAATGACCACGCAAATGCAGCCTCAACCCCATTTTTGACAGAAATCGCGACACGAAGCCCGCCCGTAAGAAGGCCGGAGGTGTGAAATATCCATTACTTTTTGCCGAAGGTGTTCCACTCCGACCATTATGCTTCGCACCATAAGAACTTGTCACTACGTGGAGACGTGCCGACGGGTTGCAGTGGGACTGAGTGACGCCTCTGCTTTTGGTTGTGTTGATCTCTGATGGAAGAGTAGACTATGCACCATCATTAGTCTATACATACATAAACATATTTATGAAGGGTCTCTGCTATTGGTGTTTTTCAAGTGTGTGCCGTTTTGGGGTAATCGCCCTGTGATCACGGAAGGCGTCCACGTCAACTGGACCGGTACAGATGTTCGAAGGTATGTACTGACCAGATACCGGTGAAGGGCTAAGAAGATGACACAAACCTTTGTGATGTGAAGAGATCTTCCTCACCATGTGCTTCCGAACATGACTGCTTCAGTTTGCTGTTGCATGACTTTGTTGCCTTTGTGAGCCACACAGAGTGCTTCCACACAAAGGCTTGATTGGCGCTAATCGGTCATTGTGTTGCAGCGTGACAACAACGCACCATATCTGTGTCTTGCACCCCACAACCAGCAGTGTCCAATGTGTCCCAGAAGTATGGCGGGGGCGGGAAGGGGAGGGGGGGAGACGCGGTTTGCACACGTTCCTTTTTTTCAGATCTCGCAGAATCTCTGATCGGGCCACATGGCCACATCGAACGAAAAACACCACACAGCATCGAGCTGGTGACCCCCTCGTCAACATGGCTTCACGTTCTTCTCTCGAGTACGACTACCTCTTCAAAATTGTCCTTGTTGGAGATGCGGCAGTAGGAAAAACAAACCTATTGGCCTGCTATACCTCACAGGTGTGTGAGATGCTGTTGCGTGCCTGGGAGAGGGAGTGTGAGAGCGGAAAAGCGGTTGAATTGTACCATGGTAGTGTTTGATGGCGCTGTTGGGCTGCTGGTGAGCCTCGGCACGACGTACGAAGGTGACAGCAAAGTACGTTTCGCGTGACCCTGTACAATGATGAATGTAGACGTCGTGCACTCCTGTCCTGTGTAAACGTTGCCAATTGCCAAGCCTCAAACGATGGCTGTCTGCGTACCCGATTTTTTGTTCCCTATTTAGGACAAGCGCCAAAGACCAGACGGGACTGTTCCAAGTTTTCGATCCGACCGCAAGACTACTGTCGGAGTGGAGTTCGCGACAATGGTGGTGACTCACCCTGATGGCAAGCGCATCAAAGCTCAGATTTGGGATACTGGTGAGCAATCAAAGCGCCGCGCCCCCTTGGCTGATGGCGGTGACATGGTTCGATTGAGATTGAGCGATGATTCCGTTCCGACGAACCAGTCAAGAGACCAACGAGCAATGAGTTACATGACGACCCATGCAGCCCCTCCGTTTGTTTTGGGCGCGTTGTTCGGCTGCGACCGATCTTGATCTGGAAAATAACATGAAAGGTTGAGGTTTTGATACAAATATTCCTTATGTGGGGGATGTACGCTGTAACCTGACCTACCACGCCGTCTACCAAAATTCAATATTTGTCCGACGAAGCTGGTGCTTGCCACCTGCGCAGCTCACAGCCTGGCCGAATCAAAATGATGGCGATTTTCACGCCTCGAAGACAGCGGCCCAAATACAGACAGCCGGAGTTTAGCTCGCCGATCGTTTCGCCACATGTGGCGTGGGCTGCTAACGGAACGATATCTCTCATGGCGCACATCGACGGAACATGTGTTTCGTATTTGGCCGAGGACGCCTACACATGTTCTCCCGCACATGCGGCGTAACTACTCCGTACTTGCTTTTTTATCAGGTCTGGAGTCTGGACTACTGTTGTGAATCACATGAATACACATGTATATTGCTTGGGAGGTTATTGGCCAAAGCAAACACATGTCTTAAGAGTAGAGCCAGGGGTTCGCACAGCAGCAACGGTATTGGAACGGATGAGAAGAATCAATAAAGCAAAGCAAACAAATGATGTTGTACGCGTTCGCCCAGTGACGTGCAGCACAAGTTGTCTCATGTACCCCTTATTTTCTTTCTTTTTTTAAGTGACGGTACATAACAGCATGGAAGTTATATCTTCCGCAGCGTATCGGGTGTACACGCATAGACTACACCGACATGGCGCAATCCGAACCAAATGACCAAATTAGCACTCTTTTTTGCGCTGCCTGGTGGTAACAGTCATGAGGACACCCCTCCTCGTCTTGTTTTGATGCCCACGGCTGCCGTCTGCTTCATCTGACGCTCACCCAACACAGGGAGTGTGGCCAATGCCGTGAGCTGTGATTGCTTGCGACCACCGAAAGATTCCGTCACTTGTTTCAAAGTTCAAAGCGTGCGAGAAGCATTTGCTCAAACGGGCGTTTGAACGGCGCGGTGTCGATGTTGAATGTACCTCTGTGGGAGGGATAAATTGACCCTCAAGCGCATGGACGCTTACAGTAGCCCATGTAGAATACAGGTTGATGTAGTCGACAAATATGCGCAGTATTGCAAGTGGTTGGGTGCAAATGATAACACAAGTCCGTGGGCAACCGTTCAGGAACAGCGTTCACCTTTTTCCCCGTGTGTGTCTCTCCCTGCCCGTGCTTGCCGGTTGTCGCTCCGCCCGTGCGATTCACTTGTCTGGCTGTCTGTCTCATCAGCGGGCCAGGAGAGATACAGGGCCATCACCAGCTCGTGAGTGCCCGCTGTGTGCTTCAGTTTCGTGCATCAGAGTTTGGCTGGATGTTGGAGTCGCAAGGTTCATGTCGCCAGCGGCTTGATTGACTTGGTGCTGCACGTAGAGAACGAACTTCGAGAGAGTACCTCCTGCGCTCGCTCTTACAACACGAATACACGCACTTCTTTACGAACAGGCACTACAAGCGGGCGTCTGGAGCACTGCTGGTGTACGATGTGACGAGTAGGTCCAGCTTCGAGAACGCCGAGAAAGTGTGGCTTCGTGAGCTCAAGAACGCGGCGGATTCCAACAGCAGCCTCCTTGACAGCCTGGTGCTCGTTGGCAACAAAGTCGGTAGGTCTTGACGTTGTGAGCGTTCTCCAGGAGTCGCCTGTCAATACCATGCTTCCTTTTCCTTGCCTCCATTCCCATCCAACTCACCCCCATCGGTGACAATGTGTGCTTGTGTGTGTCTTTTTAATTGGCATCGACCGCACTAACTAGCTGACCAATTTTTAAGACGTCAGTCTAGGCGGTGGAAAACGCAGGATGCTTCTACAGGTCACGATCTTGGACCCTGTGACCGAGCGTCATGGGGGAGTCTACGCTACTCTCCGGATGTGTGTGTGTGTTCGTCCCATCTATTCTGGCGCCGGTTTTCAGGCCTTTCGGCGTATGTATACCTGACGTATCAGCCGGGGTCACTATGTTGCTATAGAAATAGGCCGCGGAATGTACTTGAGTTCCTCGCTGTTTCGCGCGATTTGAAGCAAATAATTGGACATACTCTGCTGCAGAGTATACATATATGGCCGTGTTCTTGCATTCCCCCCATTGGTGTGCTTGGTTCCAATTTGGGTGTGCCCCTGGACGAGTTCGAAGTGCCAAGTACACATCTGCAATGGATGAACGCGTTGCGCTTCAATACGAGCACCTCGAGCGTGTATCCGATGTGAGAGACGTACTTGTACTGTACTGTGGAAGTCCCTCGACTGTGCTGATCCCTCGTCAACACTCGCACCTGTTGTAGATCTGCCAAACGCCGACGTAACGGAGGCCGAGCAAGAATCCAGCGCCATGAGGATGGGACTGGCATCGTCTGCTCGAGTATCTGCAAAGACTGGACAGGGCGTGGATAAGGCGTTCGAGCGCCTCATATTGCGGGTTTACGAGGTCGAGCATGGTCGAGGGCAGCAGGCCGCACCACCGAAGGAGGCAGCTCCGAAGGGTATCGTCTTGGCGACGCCGAAACCTCGGGCGGAAGAAGATAAACTGGATTGCTGCTGATTCGGAGCGACGATGCCCGGAAGCGTACAGTACGTTTTCTCCTTTACCGTGGGTGGAGGAACACGGACTTATTTCACGTAGGACGGAGAACATCCCGGCTCCGTTCTTGATTGTGCCCTTTCAGAAAAGAGAGGAAGGGGTTTGCTTCGCAATTCAAGCACCCTGCAAAGGAACGTCGGAATTGCTTTTTTTTAATGCCAGGTTAGAATTGTCGGGGATTGGGTGGGGTATTCCTGGGGCGTTTCCCATAGCACCGGTAACCTGGACTTCTGCTGGGTACGTTGCTCTTGCCCTGGTGACAAACTGGCCGCCTGGCACCGAACTTATTGCGTTAATTTTGCTGTATTGTTCAGGAGGGAAGTAAGGCTTGACCACGCAGTATCGGTTGTACAGCAATCATTTTTGTCGTTCTCTGTTTGCGAGTCCTTGTACTGCGTAGTTGCTTTAAAATACTACAGGATTGTTGAGGAAAATTGACGTATTTATTCCAAGGAAAACCGTTTCAACAGGTTGCGTTGGATTCAGGTGTTGATTTGCCGGGCGGCATAGAGGTATTATGCGTTGGCCTGTGGACGTGAGTTGGCTTGTGGACATGAACCTCGTTTGTACCGGCCGAAAGCTACGACACTTTGCATGTGCACGGCGGCAGAGTTCCGAAACGCCACATCTAGGGTCCATGCGAACATGCATAGCGAAACAGTCTGTAAACCTGGAACGCTCTAAGAAGTCTCCCAAATCCCGGCGTACTGCTTCAGGTGGATGTTTTTTCGCTCGGGGCGCGTGTTAGACTTGAGCACGTTCCGCTACACACTGCGCGTCTGTTAATGCTCCCCACTATGGTATTGGCTTGCCTTTTGTGTTTCAACGGAGTGTTCCATATGGTCGCGCTGAAGCCAAGAGTTTTCTTCGGCCACGAGCCAAGCTCACCTGACACAAGAGTATCTGTTAGCATGCAACATCTTCACGGAAACTAAACAACGGCTGTAGCATATGTGTTGCCCTCGCATCAATACTGCACGACACATTACGACTATCGATGATAACTCTCACCCCATGGTCCTCCTTGCCAGGCCCCGCTGGTCACACGAATCACAACCCTTGTTTTGGCTCCACGTACAGGGACAGGAGATACGTCCAACACACAAACAACCGAAAGTAGCCCGCAAACCTCATAAATCTACAACATCGTTTCGGTGCAAGCTTGTCGCGGCAACGAACAACACCAAAAGACTTGGGTCATCAAAGCTCAAACTCCTCCTCAGACTCATCGTCATCACTCTCCGAACAATTTCCACGGCCAGAGGTCCCTTCCTGTTCGTCCACACTGCGCCGTTTCTTCTTGGGAGGAGAGCTGTGGTCTTCTGACCTTTCTCTTCGCCGCGATCCCTGGACGACGTTGCCAAGGTCCATGCCGTCCAGGTCATTCTTCGTTGCGGTTCTGCGCCGTGCTTGCGCGATCTGCCGAGTGACAAAAGAGCTCAATAATATGGCTGGGGTGGTCGTGCGGATTCGCGTCATGTGTCATGTGTCACGTGTCATGTGTCACGTGTCATGTGTCACCTTCTGTACAAGCGCACGGTAAGGTGCACCGACGACTGCGGGTCCGGAGCAGAGGGCGGAATCCAAAGGCTGCCTGTATGTTGGGGGCAAGTTCACCAGCTCGGTGAGTTGAATACTTCGGATTTGGATTTAACACGTTGGAGTTTACAAGTTTTCAACAACGGTTGTGTGCTACTTGCCATACCTCTCTGGATGACGGGAATAAGCCCTTGAACTGTGCGCCAGAAGAGATGAGCCTCTCTCGAAGTGTTCTCTCCGCATCGCGCCTCTTCATCTGCTTCAAACCTCGTAACGGTCTGGGTCTGCAACGAGCAATGAGGCAAGAAAGGACCACGGCGGTTGGGTGGTTGGTTGGTATAGCGAAGGTCAGGACGTGCAAATCTTCATCTTGCAACAGCTGCGTTGGACCGCCCTAAAGAGGAGAATATCTGTACAGGACAATCCCGAGAGAGGGGACCCCCTGCAAACCGGTTCCCATGGCATGTATGCATAGCTGAAACAAAGTTATCCCCAGATAAAACCTTATGGATATTGTAACCAATAATTGGTCTGGAAACCACAGAATCAGCCAACAGGTGGAAATTCCCAGGCCAACAGAGAGCAGCTCGATCATTGAGATCAACCTACGGTCGAAAAAAGGAAAAAAACTGACAGACAACCAACCGACGGCTGGTTCCTTTTGAACCACCACACACGACAGGCATCAAGAGCGGCTATTGTCGTAAGACCGGGAGGGATACACATACCTGCTCAGCGCCACATCATCAGCGCACAACAAGCAAATAGGCAACGGCCGGTTGCGTACTTGTAAAGAGTAATAGAGCTGCAGCAGCAGCGTATCATGATCTGTGCCCTTTTTTTCTCTTTTTCCTTCAAGGATCGATCTCAGAAGGAGTGTCCTCCTTGTCTCTCTTCATCAAATGTTCCCCATGTAATCCTGGCTCGTGGACATGTTGTCGATAAGTGGTCTATTCAAGATGCTCCGCAGAGAGTCGACACACAAGCAATCATCTGATCTGTACATGCGATCACCATACAACCGCCGCGACACGTTCCTACACACCAACAAGCTCACACGGGTGCAGTGCAAAGTGCAAACAAACGTGCAAGCGGTGCCGCGTGCGTGCAACAACGCGTTCACAACGACGTCACACCTAAATCCCGGCCAAAAAATCTCGCTGCTCCAAATCCCAGCGCAGGAAAGGCGATCTCGGGATGATTGGAATTTGAAATCTCGGTTTTCCGGCAAACACAGTAACAGCACCGTCAGGAGGGGTATGTCATGTCCTGTGCCTCACTCCAAACCCAAATCTGAGGAAACTGCTGCAGACCTTCCATAAGAGTTGGCCTGACAGCACAGCAGATATGCATGCCTATTGTATGTATATCTTCGATACCTGCCGGACGTGAAAAAAATGGCCGTTGATGCTTTTTTATGAAGTGTGAAGTTGGAAATTGGGGAACTTAGAACTTATGAATGTAACCGCCGTTGTCGCTCTTCTTGGATCTTTGGAACAAAGACAAATACATCGACCACCAACTGCTGTTACTCTCGTGATATGCATGTTCCACCCACCCAAGGTTCATCGCCCTGGCCAAATCCCTCATTGCTGACATGGCATCGCCTTGATCGTTGTCATCTGATGACGAAGATGCACACTCGTTGCGATCATCCTCGTCACCATCCTCGTCATCAACCTCTTCCTCCGGGTGGTCGTCTTCATTGCCATTGACCCCTTCGTCGCTTTCCTGTGCGATGAGCGCCTGAAGCGCAACTTTATGTTTTGTGAGCTCCTCAACGGGGACATGAATAGCGGCCGCAATCGTTGTCTTGAACTCCTTCCATGTTTTCGTCTTCCATATTTCGAGCTTCATAACCTCCTTCGCCCCTTGCTCGACATCCTCCCACGCGACACTCGATGGCACGACCATCGCTCTCCCTCTCTCTTTCGCTGTCTCGTCTCCAGCTGTTTGTTGTGTACGACAGCTAGAAGTAGAAATCTAGGCACTTTCCCAATCCTCTAGACGTGGGCAGGTGGGGTTTTGGCGGGATACGATGTCGACTCCCCGAAGCAAGGGTGCGCAAGGCCAGTGCGAGTGGCACACCCAAGATGTTGTTTTAACCTGAGGCACTGACCGGTACATACGCTGTACGTACAGCGGTCAGTTCATTTGTCTCTCGTTTCGGGGCTCCGTGTATCAATCGGTGGGGCCGATCATTGCGAAGCACATGTAGTCTACTAATTTTTGAAAACTTCCACGCGCGAGCAGAGGGACAGAGAGGAGGTAAAAGGGGAGCAGAGAGGCGTGAGGAGCGACAGCGAGAAGACAGAACGTTGCTGACGTTTGTAGTCCAGCAATGCGGGACGGAAATCCTAGACGGCGTGCCGCTCGAACAAAGGTGCAAACGGAGGTAAGTGGACTACTGCTGTGTATTGTTGCTGTTTCTGTGGAAGTCCCTACTTACCACCACACATTATGACATCATGAAGCGAACCACTAGACACGGGGGCTTTCACGTAGGATAATTCTCGGTGTACAGCAGTATAGCATGAACACCCCCCGGTGATATTGTGTAGAGAACTTATGGACTTTCCGCTGCAAGAAGAGCTTGGGGAGAAACTAGGAGCCTTGTTGCCCAAAGCTGGTACTATTGCGAATTTCTGAATGAAAACAAAGTCGCCTGCTGATTGGATGATGCGGACAGTCCAAATCTGGGTTCCAGGGGCAACGCTGGCTCCGCACGCCCCACCTGAGCCGTCTCTTATCAACAGCCTTACATGCATCAAATGGGCCAATTTATACGAACTGCAGACAACTCCTTGGCAGAACGTGTCGTAAACGGGGCACGAATAGGTCGTAAGATTTTACCCCTAGCCTTGTAGTAAATCTATAGAGAGAAAGCGAGACCTCTACACAGGTCCAAGCTCTAGGTTGCCCGGTGACTCCTCCTCATTTCATCGGTGGGTACGGCTTTCTTGCACGCTTGCCGCTGGTAGCGCTTCCAACCGTGCACAGATAGACGCGGAGCAACGTCGCTGCTGAACCTGCGGTATCGTCCCGCGATTCTCCCTTCCAGTACAACAACTACTTAATCGTATTTTTCCGAGTGTCATTTTTATTGGAAGTATTATACAAGGGTTTCCGGACGTGGGGGGCCTATCGGCCCCCCGTCCTCTGGGTTGCTGTGTCTAGGTGGTGGTGGAAGGGAAGTGGTGTGGATGGTGGGTGAGGCTGGATACCAAGGGCGGGAGTGTTGTAATTGATGGGAAGGATGAGTGTCGCATGACAGAGGGGCCAGATGGAGGAACACAAAAAATGTATTAGAAAGGAACGTCGAGACTTCGCAGGAAGAACTCAAAACAAAGGAAAAATCAGATTTGACTACTTACAAACGAATGTACAGTAGCAATAGGTGCGCATGGGAAGACAACGCAAGCTCAGAACTACAGGAGGAAAAGTTGACGCAGTACAATACGTGCAAGAACCTGGAAAAAGGCGCAAGGAGAAAAAAAAAAAAACGGTTGTGACTACTTAAAAAATGAAGACACGCTTCGTGCGGACCGCGAGCCGACCGTCGGGGCAGACCGTCGGGGCAGTCTTTGACGTCGAGGCACACCAGATGGCCTTGTTTCNTGAGTGTACCTTTTAAGGCTAAGTTAGCCTGCGACCACGGGAATCGACCGCGTCGAGTGTTGTATCAGTACGGACATACGAAGGTACTGGGTAGAGAGATCGGAACGGTTTATAATGTGAAGACGACCACAACAACAACAACAACAACAACAACAACAACACCCACAGGGGGTTGCCAGGTTCCAGCGCAGTCTTGGGCTTGGAGGGGGGTTTGGAACTCTCGACTGGCTTGCGTTTCAGAGGCGAAGCCTTCGATAGCGCACTCATGTCTACTTGGAGGGTAGCGGCTGCTGTGTTGAAGTGTGTGCGTGTGGGCGTGGCGCGGGTGTGATGAGGAGACTAAAACGAATCTTATCTTAATCTTTACTTCCAGAAGGTTGGGCGAAGTTTTGACCCAACTAAAGATCCAGAACCCACAGCAGCAGAGAGGGCTACACGCTCCCGGCTTCGTTGAGCGGCTTCGTTAAGCTTGCTCAGAAACTGTGATCGACCTACTACGTGACAACTGCGCTTGCTACAAACCGCACTAGAGGTGAATAGACGGAAGTACGTGCTGGCTATTGAGGGTGTTCGTGTTTTTTCTCTCCCTGCTGGCAACACACCAACCTAAATAGCAAAACCCCGCAAAACGGGACTGTCACCTTTTTGCGAACGGAAGACGAAAGACGTCGGTTCTGCGGGTTTCAGCGCGCTTTCACGACACTGATTCCCAACTCAGCGGGCACAATCGGGACCGCGCGAAATGAGTCATTCTGTTCGCTAGGCCACCAGGTGCCACCGTGCGTCTGGGCGCGCGCTATGAGGGCGCGAAGTTAACGTACTGTTTTCAGAGGGGGTCGAATCGCCCCGCTGCGCTGTAAGCGACCCAGTCCTGAAGATCCCGATTCCCGTAAAATTAATTACCTCTATTCCACGAAGTCTGGAAGGTAACTCACTGGCAAATAACGAGGCGACACCGATCGCCTCCCTCTCTCATCCAGCATCCAAGCTTCCCTTCCATGTCAACTGGCCGGGCCTAACAACATGCCGTCTCAGTATACCGAGACCCTCAATGGTACTCTACCATCGACATCCACCAACATCGACGTTTAGTGGGACGGCATTTTGTCTCCGCTGCCCGTGCCTTCGTGAATGCTAGCCCTTTTTCTGCTCCATCTTCTTCCCCTTGCTAATTTACGTGATACCATGTCTACGTCCACCATATTTTTCCGAGTATAGACCTTAAACGTACCCGAGCCTTCCTTCCATCTACCCTCTCTCCGTATAATTCTATCCGGTACGTCTCCCCTCGCTGCCAGCGTGGTTGCGGCCCCAATTCTCAACGAATGTAAGCCAACTTGCCTCGGGTCGTCACCTGCCTTCTCTACAATTGGCGAAGGGCTCTAAGTTTTGGAATGTCCACACACCTTAACCGTATTGCTCCCACCACAGCGAAACGAGCAGAGGGGCGTCCTCAGGTAACAAGAGATGGCACGCCATCAATTCCACCAACATCGCCACGGCACCTCCACCGGCACCGATCTGAGAACGCGCGCCTCGTGCGACATCGCGTACCCGTGTAACGTACGCCCCCTTTTCCGACTGATCTCTCTTGTGGCCGCGAAACCGAACCCGAACACCGTGGCCTTGTGACAGTGCAACGGAGATAGCACCTGCTCCCTATCGAACAAATCAACTCGCTTGGACATGGGCACGTGCGACACACAACATACTGCGTTTGATGAGAGGCGCACCAGTCGGCCACTCCACCTGCTTTTCGACTCGATGAAAGTACTGTACGGCGGCAAGCTTGCCGAAAACTGTCGGTACAACGTTACCCTGATCTGCACAACACCACGACTGCATTACCCCAGACGTGTGATTGTGAGAGTGCTCAACACGGCGATCATGATACGAATTTGTGAGTCGAATTGCGCCACCCACACACCAAGCGCCGATCTACCACGACGAAGTCCCCAACCGAGTAACCGAACACTGGAGCGCCCGACCATTGAACAGCTACCACAAGATGCCGAAACGCGTCAGCAACACCGCAACCACAAGATGCGCCACCCAATGTCCCGCAACACGTTGCCTAACTCGACCTTCGGCGCCACCTTCGAATCCGTGTCGGCATGGACACCACGCGACTCGGGGCAACATTCGAATGTCAAGTCATGGTTGACGAATTTTCGCGGGCGGCACGACCACGCCCAGCGGGGACAATCGCAACCCAGTATCGATCTGCTCCTCCCGCGGAGACACGAACGCCCGTCCGTACCGCACATCAAAAACTTTCCTGAGAATGGTGTCGGAGTGCGACGCTACACTACGTTGGTTGCCATACGACAGCGCTTCTGCGATTTCTGCAGATTCACTCACGAGCACTACGGCACCACGCTCCGCAATGGCGGCTACGGTTTCTGTTTGTAGAAAACCCTCCCTGCGTCCAAACCACACCGAATAAATGCAGGCCACACCCGCGGCACCCCCATGCAGTTTTCAATGGCTTTCGTGCATTCAAAGCTTTCCCTATGCCGACATAAAATCGAAAGAGCTCCACCGCGATCTGAGCAAGTATGGTATGTAGCACGTGGCTCTCCCTTCTCGACGGTCTGAGACATAGCATGTACCATGGAAACAATACACTTGACCAACAATGCACTCCAAAGTACCAACCCCACCTCAGGTCAACGTAGTAGCCACCCCGGGTCGCAAGGGGTTCGTGCCCAAACCCAAAACCACGCCCCCCCGCGACATCTGAAGATGGCCCTCCCCCGACCCCCCCCCTGGTGTTTGCCATCGGGGTTGGGTTTTCATCGCTTGGCAACGACGTTGTAAAACAAGCCGCCCCCCCTCGGTGTTTGCCATCGGGGTTGGGTTTTCGTCGCTTGGCAACGACGTTGTAAAACGAGCCGCCCCCCCCGGTGTTTGCCATCGGGATTGGGTTTTCGTCGCTTGGTAACGACATTGTAAAACAAGCCANTTTTTTTTTTGGCGGTAACCATAATGGTGGTCGATTAGATCATGTTGTGTGGGGTGAACCCTCACTCTTCCGCGCAAGGGGGATGATCGCACCACGTTGTGTTAAAATGGTCAAGCACCCTCGAGGCAGTTACACAGTGCTTACAACTGTCTCTGGAAGTGAAAGCACCAGAAAATAAATTAATTCATACGCAGCTGTCATCCGTACGCAAGGAAGTAAGCACAAGATGCCGAACACCCTTAGCAGGATGCAGCGCACCCTTCATGCGACTCGCCGAATATCTCACGGCGCTTCGCGCTTGGTGATGTGAGAGCCTGGTCCGGTGAGAACCCGGCGTGCTCCGTCCCGGCTTTGTAGGGATGCGAGGTCAATGGTCTAACGACTACGGCATGCACGACTATGAGTACCCCCCCCCCCCACCCCCCCCGGGGGGGCAGGTCCCGCGCCCCTACTCGTCAAAATCGCCTCGCCGCGCCGCTGCCGCCGCCGCCGCTGCCACCGCCGCGACCCTTCGCACCTTCCGCCGCCGCCTTGGCCTGCTTCGCCTGGGGGCGCCAGCGTGAGCGGCGGCGGCGTCGGCTGTGGAGGGGGTACCTTGGAAATCGTCGCCCTCGGAGCGCCCACCAGTTTCGCCCCCTCGTGGTCCGCCCACTCCGCCGGCCTTCCTTTTCGCCGCATGCTTGAAGCGGCATGTCTCCCCGAACCGGCAGGTCCCATGTCAGGCGAACTGATAGCATGTGCCCGACTTCTTGGCCGCACTGCCGTCCCCCGGGGAACCCGCCCTAGGATTCGAATGGGCGGTCCTGCCCTGT